CAGTGTACATTGTGTTTGTCTCTTGCCAGAAATGAAGGTGCAATAAAGAGCTTGAACAGCGGATGGAGTGATTTGCTACTTTGCTATAATTTTCCCCTCCTCTTTGTTTCTGTATTGTTTTGAGTTTGAAAGAGCAGGAACAGATTTTCACACAAACAACAGGTTCAGCCTATTCCAATGAACTTCTACTGATATTTAAAAAAAAGATCATTACTACTAGTTTTCCTTAGATAACTTCCTGCACATAAAAAGGAGAGGTATTACTAAAAATGAAAGCCTTACTTAATGCCTTGTATGTTAAAAGCTTTGACCATGTTCTTAAAAATACAAAATCCAAAAACATTTAAAAAAACAGTGTTTTGTGGTTACCCCCTGGCATTACACAGCCCAGTGCTCACTACATGAAACTGCAGCACTGTAACACGCATTTTGAGTTTGCCTCAACTGGAAAAATCCAAACAATTTTTTTCTGGCTCAAGAAGAGTTAGACTGCCCTGTTACAATTTTCTTCTTTAAGAAAATTAGTATTTCCTCCCAGAACTGAATGTCTCTCAATCTTCTCTTGTGGATTGTTGAAGAAATCCACAAACACCACATTTAATTTTCAAAAGTAGAGCCAGATCAAAAAACGCTGTTACTAAGTACAATGTAGGTGGATTTCTGTGATTAGGTAGATTAAGTACCAGTAAGATTCATCAGGAAACAGGACTAAACGTAATGGTCAGAGCAGAGATGCTGCCTAACTTTTGTCGAACATGCTACCAACTAAAGCAATGCCTGGAAGTGTCAATAGCAGCTGGGATATCTAAGCACCTGCAGGACAAGGAACACATCTAACAAATTTTTCCGACTTGGATGGCTAAGCTACCTATGAAGCCATTATATCAAAGGTCATTGCCAGTTTTCTAGAAGAAGCAAGCCAGTCCCCTGCCTCCAGTGAGTTAATTGCCAAAGAGCTAGAGTTAGGGACTCCCGTTCTTTTGTCATTGGCCAAATTTCAAAAGATGCAGGGTTTCAAATACATGCCTGCTTTTGACATTCCTTCATGGCTCACTAAGGCTGGCCACTTAGTAGTTTGCTACTTGTTGTGCCTATTTCTAGAACCCTTAATTCCATATATGAAGCCAGGCACTTAAAAGTTAGTACAGCAGGTTTGGGCACTGCAATGTCTACATCTCCTTATGGGTCTGGGTCTTAATGTGTAGTCCTCTAGAAATATAGCAAATTTCTAGATACTTAGGTGGTTTTAAGAATTTTATTCTTCCACTTAAGAGGCTGAAACTTTTCTTCTCTCAATACCTCTATTTACCTCTACTATATATTGATAAGCTGAGATTTGAAATAAATCAGGCCTGGCTGTCCCTGCCCAGGCCCCTGGGGCCATCAGCCCCTGCCCCAGCAGTGCCACAGCAGGGCTGGCCTCCAGCTCCCCACAGCCCTGACCGGCCATGGGCTCTGCCAAGCTGGGCCCACCCACAGGCTGACAGCCCAGCCCGGCCTCAGCTAGTCCCTGTCCCCAGGGAGGTGCACAATGCCCAGGGCCAGAGCTGCCCTGCTCCTGGCTGGGGTGGTGGGACTGGCTCTGGCTGCCGGGCCCGTCCCAATGGCCATGTTACCACTCTGTGCTGCCACAAACTTGATCCTTCAGGAGCACTTGGCCCTCACAGTGTCCTGATGTGCTGTCCCCAAGAGGAACTGCAAAATCTTATTTTAATGGAGCCAATTTTAAATAATAAGTTAACAAATATATATTTTGGCAAATATTTTTGTGATCTTTTGTAACAAAGAATACTTAATGCATTTCCTCTCATTTTTTTTTACAGCTTTGAACAACACAACTATTAGACTGACACCTCAGTGGCTAACTTTCTATTTGAATGATTATTATTCTAAACACAAACCAAAAGTGCAAAAGGGCATATCATGAAGCAGAAACACCTTGCAGATTTCAAAAAGTCTTATCTTAAATTAGAAATTATTTTTTTCTTGAAAATGTTTATAAATACTTGCATTTTACTAAACTGCAAATTCATGCTATATATAACATTACATTAGTTATCCCCTGCAATGTTATTTCTGTCTCTTGCTGTGATTCTAAATAGGAACAGGAAAATATCTTCCTTTTTATGTACATTAAAAGACGTTGTATAAATGCTGCAATTAATTATGCTGCATTCTGCAGTGATGTATTCCAAATGAGACAGAGATGTAGCCAGGTAAAACCTGCTGAAATTTGGGCAGTTCTAATGCATTATGTAATGATTATTCCATTAGGAACAGAGATTTTAAGAACATAAGCAAAGGATACATTCATAACTAGGTTACACTAACTGCTTTTTGCACGTGTTATCCCTGGCACAGTCACACTGTAGAAATCACATGTGCTGCCTTGTGAACCACAGCCCTATTCAAAGCAGTAAGCAGAAGATGTTAATGCATGCTGTCTGGATCTAGCTTTCAAGAGATCGCTTTTTATAGTCCTGCCCTTTAAAAACCTCTCAGTTCTGAGTAGGTCATGAAACTTTGGAAATACACAGGCAGAGTAATGGATTTAAATGAATATTTGACATCATCTGAGACAGAATATTGAACATGGTAACAAATCCACTCAATAGAGTGCTTCCCATATGAATCTTAATCTCAGAAACACAATTCATGTTACACCTCTCCTGTTAGGCTGTATTTATCAAATGATGGACCAGCATGTGTTCCAGTTCTGATTCTCTACTCTAGGCATGTAATTCCTTCAGATTACATGTATCTAAGAGTTTTCTTGCTTAAGGAAACTTATCAGCAGCAATTATTGCACACTTACGGAGCTTTTGATTACACAAGCCTAAGTGAAATGGAGAAACTTTTCCCTGGAAAGAGGGGAGAAGTAACAAAAGAAAAAAGGATTACATTCCTAGGGAAAAGGCAGAACCCAAAAACTGGACAACCCAAACATTATTTGGTTGTGGTTCAGGTATTTGAACCTTATCATGACAAAAATGTTCCCTCCCTGACATTTGATTTGTTTCAAACTGTGTCTCAGGGAGCAAAAATACTGAAAATATTTTAAGTAAGGCAGCTGTACCTTTGCAATTAAATATAAGTTATAATAACTCTGCTTGCAGAGGTGATTTATAGTGAGAAGATTTTTTTAAGAAAAAAGAAACATAGTCAAGAAAAACACTTGAAAAGATAGTAATGGTTTAAAAAAAATGAATCTAAAAATGCAAACAAGTTTCTTTCAGAGGAGGTGTCCATCTATCTAACAGTGATGTTAAATTATTTTCCTTATCACAGAGGTGATAGGAAACAATCCTCCCCAGCCCTAAATCTAGAGCTTTCAAAGGGAATGCCTATATAGCAATCTCTCATATTCTTTTGCTCTGTGTCTTCTTTGCCTTTACTGAGCATAGTTACCATAGAGACAAACAATCCTCAAAGGCTTTCTGCCCCCACGTTCTCCAAGTGAGTTGCTGGGGAAGGAAAGGCTTTAATATATTTTTTCCAATGTTCTGCTAGTATTAGATATGACTTGTTCTGCCCTCAGTCCATATTCAGCAACAAAAAGGATGAAAAAATTACTCTTTCCTCCCTTCTCAAACCCTGCTAAAGCTGAGACAGAGACACCAGAAGCCAGCACGTTGTCTTCATTAGAGTTTAACTATCAAAATAAACAGAAAGGCAAAATGTAGGATAACAGTGACACTCCAATTCCTTGGAACTGATAGGTACTTCATTATGAACATATTTTCATTTGTCTTTTTGAAAGAGACTGTGTAATTTGTTTATATAGACTTTTCATTACTTACAGATATATGCTGCCAAATAATATTCAGCATATTACAGTGAAATGTATTTAGTAGACAAACTTATATTGTGTGTACTGATTTATGGTGTTTGGAAAAAGAAGCAGTTTGGTCTACAGATTAAATTGATTCTTTCTTATGCATAAAAATGTGTATATTTAACAACTTGCTATTTAAAATAAAATATTTTATGTTGGATTTACTTCCCTTTTGGACTTCAACATATTCTAAAAATTCTACTAGATAAAAGCTAAAATGTATATTTTAAAAACTAAAGTAGACTGTTTCCACTAAAGATGAGTTACCTTGAAAATGTTTTTTGAGAGAAGGCTACTATAGGATTTCATCTATCTTTTAATTAGCTTATGGCTCTTTGGAGTTCCATGTGCTGCAGAATTTTACCATATAGCAAAAAGAAGAAAATATGACTCCATGTGAAATCTAGCAAGCTGTGAGCTTGCTAGATGACTAATGAACAATGGATGACTATGGAAAATACAGGACATATTTTGATCATACACATCCAAAGTTAAAATTAATCCATTCCCATTCTTCACAAGAAACTTTGCCACAGGGAATGGACTAGTAACTTCTGATTAATGTGGGTTTAATATCAATTTTAAAATGGTCTGTAGAACTGAGGTTTGATAAAAACACATGTGGGTGTTTGTGAATACTGCAGTTTGATTATTTTCTGGGGTCCCCCCCCCCACCATTTTTTCCTGGTATTTTCTTATTTTACTTTTTTTTGGTCACAATCCATGAGACTGACTTCCTACAGTTTTTCTTCCCTCTGATTTCCTCCCCTTATCACTTCATCCTGTAGAGAGTGCTTATGGATTTCTGAATACAAGAAGTTATGTCAACCTGGAATTTCAGCAATGTTGTTATTTCCATAGATCTCGCTACACGTTTGTTAGTTTTGGTACTTTGGCAGTAGAGGCAATAGTGGGATTGTATTTCAAAGTACAAATACCTGATGCATTATTTTTAACAGGCAATAACAACGTGCCTTTAATTGTATTTATAAGTGTTTAAATAAATTGAACCTGATTATTCCATTATAAACTTATTTAAAAGAAAAAAGTTAGGGTAAGGAATGATATTCACTGCCAATTTTCAAATGTAGTAAAAGCTTGCAAGAAATGCAGGCATACAACTCTTGATACTACCAAGAGAGATTATATGTGCTACAAGGCCAACCTGTAGGTTCAGATTCTTCTTTATAGCCTGCAGAGTCACTGGACTGTTTCTGGGGCATTTGTTCAGTTTCAGGTGGAAGCTGCTCATCATTGTCCTCAGATTCTGTTGGCACAAACAGAATCGTTAGTAACTTTAACAAATCCATTGAGGGGTGATGGAGGCACTATAGGATTAAAGTTATTTTTGGATCACACTGCAAAACTTATATCTGATCATCTTCAAAAAAGGAGTTAGTCACTTTAATGCTCAGGCACTGCACACTGACAAAAACATTTCAAGATCAGCTACTTTATCTGTGTGGAAAGACAGACCATCTATCAGATGCCACATGACTCTGAATAAAGTGGAGAAGTACTTTATTTAATTCAGTTCTGTTATGTAAGAATATTTTTCATTCATTATAATCTATGTGTTCTGTGCTCAAACTACGCTCAAAAACAAGACCTTGCAAAAAAAGTGTACTTCAATGGAAATAGCTGTGGCACAGAAGCTAAGCATGTCTAGATTTTTACAGCATGTCTAAACACTTAAGAGATTTAATATACAAGACTGGTGTTGGATAGGGTCAAGGACGAGAGATGGACAGACATTAAACAAAGTAAATTAAGATTATGTCCTTTTTCTTCTAGATATTCAGAAAACGACAAGAGCTTTCAGAGAGATTGATAGCTCTAATCATAGCCTTTTGATCTTTTTTCTTCTACAAAGTAATGCACAGCTGTGCTAAACTAGGTACTATCCCTTGCTTGGCCTTTATTTCTGTGAATGAGAGACTAAAAGAATTTAAGCACTGAAGGTATTTGGGATCTAATTAAGTGGTTTATAACCTTTCTGTTTCAAATTTTGAAATTTCTCTGCCTAAAATGCTGTGATTACAGGTATTAGAATGTAATTATCATATCTGGTTTATGAAGCAGGGCAGAAAGTGGCTTTGAATATCATGCAACTTTGCTCGAAGACTGAGCAAACTGTGAAGTTAATATCACTACAGCTTGCATTGAAGTCTGTTGTACAAGTAATTTGCTATCCCTTGTCTGCAGATGAACAAACTGTCTTTGTTCAAACTCTGTCACTGAAAAGCCTCCAGTTAGAGGTAGGAAAAAACCAAATCAAGATGCAAGCCAGCCAAGAAAAACAAAGGAAATATATAGAGAGGCTGTAGGACTGAGCACATCAACTGCCTGGTAAATGTTATAATTATAACTGATTCCAAAAAGCATCTCTCTTCAAAGACTAAAGAGGAAATGTCCTAACATGTACAGGCTTAATTACTATTATATTTTTTTTTTGTTTTTTAAAAAAATCTTACTGAATTTAACACAACAATAAAAATAAAAATCAAGAATGTAAAATAAAAGCTAAAGAGATGGGTATCAGGGGGGGAGGTGGGATAAATATTAAAAGGTTTATAACATATATTAACAGCTGTGAAGAACAAGCACGGGAGGCAACAGCTGGAATGATCAGCTCCAGCTACCCATTTATTTCTTGCAAGAGCTTCTGCACAAATAGCAAGACTAGCAGAAGAGACATCAGTGACGGTGGGGTTGGACTGAGACACTGTTATGAGTTACAGTGACTGAGGCATAGGTGTACATGTGTTCTAGTTGAGTTTGCTATAGGAAGGGAGTAGTCTCTGGCAGAAAAGCAGATCTCTGACAAATAAAGTACAGAAAATAATGTCTTAAACCATGACAACTGTTTGCTTCAGAGGGTAAGATCAATTGTATGGGATATATTATTGCTGAAACATGTCAGGAAAGAAATGTGCCAAGTTCTGCTTCAGGAAGCTTGGAATGAACCCACAGATCTACCTGAAGCTGTATAACTTGTCTACAATGACTGAAATATATTCTCATTAAGTCATATTGCTGTCTCCTAGTATAAATAATTCCATACTTATGCAAAGCTGCTGCAAAAAATCCTTAAATACAGTAAGAAATTCCTGAAAATAATTTAAGTTCAGAATAATTCTGTCAAGGGACATGAAAAAAAGATGTGGGGCTATAATTTTCAGGTAGACACTACAAGCAAGAGTTGCCACATAAATTGTTTTGTGTATCTTCAACAGACATTTTCAGCATTGAACTTCCTAACTTCCTAACATTTTTTAAATTTACCCAAAGTCTCCTCTATTTGTTTTCACAGTCATTAAGACACATAATAGTACCTTGCTCATTATTGGAATCATTTTTTTCCTTTTAAACACAAATGGTATTATAAATTTGGATAAATTCAGTCCTGAAGCAATCCCAGTTACTTCAATGGCCCACTAAGGTTATAAAAATCGCAATTATTGAAATTCACGTTTATTAGAATAGAATAGAATAGAATAGAATAGAATAGAATAGAATAGAATAGAATAGACCATTTCAGTTGGAAGGAACCTACAAAAATAATCTAGTCCAACTGCCTGAGCAATTCAGGGCTGGCTAAGTTAGAGTGTTATTAAGGGCATTGTCCAAATGCCTCAGACACTGACAGGCTTGGGACATCGACCACCTCTCTAGGAAGCTTGTTCCAGTGTTTGATCTCCCTCTTGGTAAAGAAATGCTTCCTCATGTCCAGTTTAAACCTCCCCTGGTGCAGCTTCAAACCATTCCCATATGAGACGATATACAAGACATCAAAAGAACATGTTCGGGCTCTGGAGTATTCTTCCAAGTTTTCATTTTTATGTTATAACTGCTATATAAAAAAACCCCCAAAGTGTGAACATATAATTCAATTATATTTTTGTAAAGACATGTCACATGGGAGAAAAGCTGCAGTCAATGTGCTGATGGTACTACATGTGAAATAAAACAGATGTCAGGCTAAGAGGAACATGACTGAAGTGTTTTGGTGAGTCAGTATTTGATTATTGAAATCAAATGTAGGCGTAGGAAAACATAATTTTCTCTGAACAAGGACTCACCACATGTTAAGAGCACAACTGTGTATATGACATTATTACTTCTATCATTAATAATTGTTGTTTTGATGTACTCAGATCAAAATGAGTTAGATATTCAAAACTAAGATGAACTTTGTTGTTTGAGGCAGAGATAATAGAGTATTTGTGTAGGAACCTTTATATTTACTACTTTAGAACTCATTCACTTTGAAGAAGAGTTATGTGTTTTATTAGAAACTATAAAAAGTTATAAGGTAGAATTTTTTTAAATTTTATATGTAATTTAAAGAACCCTACAAATCTAGAGTATTTTTTTCACCTTTATGACTTAGGCCTTGCTATATATAGATAAAATAAACACCAGATGGGATAATGAAAAAAAGTGTATGTGCCACATATCGACAATACACAACTTAAGGCCAGGTTGGATGAGGCTTTGAGCAGCCTGGTCTAGTGGAAGGTGTCTTTGCTCATGGCAGCAGGGTTGGAATGAGATGAACTTTAAGGTTCCCTCCAACTCAAAACATTCTATGGTTTACGAAACTTGGCCCTAATATTTTTCTACAGAAACCAGTATGTTATGTTTGAAAGGAAGACAGTAATGGCAGTCTAGGCTCCCACCGCTGGGAGCAAAAAAAGAAGTGGGAATTCATGTGCTTCAATTTTTAATTTTAGCTCCAGGCCTTAGGTGATAACTTAGGCTATGATGGAGAAACCTTGAGGTCCCATAGCAGAGCAAGAAAATACTCTTAAGTCCTCAACCTGGTTCTTAATGTAGAGACAGATACTTGTGCATGGTACTTCATCTTGACAGCAGATCCAAATCAGACAGCAACATCCTTCTAAGAAAGTAGGCAGTGATTAAAGAAGGCAAAAAGGGAAGTACAACCCTGTAACTTTTTTGATTGTTGAGGTCTTCAAAAACTTTAAAACTAACTGGAATGATTTCTAAACCTCGACCCTGCTGACAGAATTGTCTGAGGTAGAAAAATACAGCCTGTTTGTGACAGCTGGCCTGCCCCCAAAATCTCACTCTTCACACATTATTCACTCCCTCCCAGGACAATTATATTTTAAACAAAGTATAGCACAACTATGATCTACATATAGGATTTTTACAGGAAATAAAGAGTGGATAAACAAAAATAATATGAGGTTCTGTCCATACAGAAAGCACAAAGGAGAGGAGGAACAATGACAGGTGGGGGAACCCCAATAACCTAATCAGAACAAACACAACCTTGGCTCCTTTCACTCAGGGTCCTGAAAAGAGGATGGTGAAGGCATTGTCTGGATGTGAGATCTATTGAGATGAGTCAACCAGAGAGGCTCCCCCTGTCTGAGGGGGATTACTGCCTACATGGTATGACATTCATTAGGGGATGCCAGGAAAAGCAGTTTGGGATTGTGAGAGACTTAAAATGTTATGAGGCATTTCTGAGAAGGGCCAAAGGCAAGGAGAAGGAGGGATCCAAAGTGGATTGGGGAGGAACAAGCATAGAGAACAGAGTAAGAAGAGGATGAAAGGGGAGATGGGAATACATGCTCAGACTCATTACTGCATGGTCCTGGGGATATGGAGCTGCAGCAGCCTCACCTCTACTGGGCTACTGGATTCAGCAATTCATAACGTATGTTGCAATTCTTAATGCATTTTAAGACAGCCACTATTGAAATAATTTCCATTCCCTTTTAATTGCTTCAGGCTGAGCTTCGTGGAGGAAGAACAGAAAATCAGACAGTTTTGTGATTTTCTTACTAGCTAAGTTCTAACAATGTTTTCTAACTTGCAAAGGGATACAGATTTTTTAATGAGTAAGAAGTTTCAATACAGTTAATAACCCACTTAGAAAAGTTACTAGAGGAGATAGAGAGTCCTGTCCTTTGGATTTATTTAAAAACTGTAACTGTGCTGGCTTATTTAGTACACATCTTTATTCTGTGACATCCATTAAGAATGACACATAGAAATGAGTGCTTGAATCAGTGAAGGAAGCAGATAGTTATATAAAGTAAATTTTCTAGATGCTGAATATAAAAAGGAAATCAAACCTCTAAAATCTGCATAAAAAACAAATTGCTAAATTATTTGAAACACATAATCAGATAAAATAGAAGGCAAATGATACACACTTTCAGCTTTCTCCTCAGCAGCCTCTAGAGATTGATCTTCCTCTGATGTCAGTTTTTCTTGCACTTCTCTTCTGCAAGTAAAAGATTATTCATCTTAAAACATATAAATACTACTGAAGCAAGCTGCAAATATATTAAATGTAAAATAAAGATGTGGAAATATACTGTTGAGAATTAAAATATAACTTGGGTTGTACAAAATAAGAATATATTTTACCATCTAAAATGTTATTGTCTCATTGCATCAAAAGGCTGGACTAATGAAAGGGTAATGAAAATGCATTTAGCAAGAGAATCTTCTGCCACCATATTTACTGATCTAAATGAGATATTCCTCAAAGTTAACACTTTGCATTGTATTATTTTCTATACATCACAACTAGTTTTAGTGTACTGTTTTAGTACATTTGTGTTGATAAGTGTACTGATATCTTTAACATAGACTAAGGCTAAAATTTTCTTGTGCTCATTTTATATGTTCAGATATTTGGAATATTTTACCTTACTTCTTCTTCTTGCTTTTTTAAGGCTTCATCTGTTAGTCTTTTCAAAATCTTAGAATTAATTTCATCCCTATTTGCTAAGTATGTTCTGTGTAGTATACAGACTCCTGCAGTACAATTACACAACAGTAATGAGTTTTATGCATCTGTATAAAATTAAAGTTATTTCAGTTAGGAAAATTATTTAATAAATTACAGACAACTCCCCTACTTCTTTTTAAAGCCAATAAAAGGCTTATATACCACTGTTGTTATACTTTTGTTTTCTAAGGTTTTAGAGCTTTGTTTTCAGTTTCAAGCATCTAATAAACCAAGTCTGGGATATGAGAAGGTTATGATGAAAACTATAAGGGGAGACAGTACTGAAAGGATTTATCTTATATTTCCATATATCATGCATTACTCTGGCATTTATTTTGTTTGTATGTGTACAAAGAAAACTATGAGGAAACAAATGAAAAACATTCAAATAAAAATATAAAGAATGTACATAACTAAACTCTACAGTTGGTTGACAGAAATGAAGGATATGCTGTTCCTACTAGGAATTCTACTAACTTATTTACTTTGGAATATAGATTTATGCATATATAGGTATATGGCTGTGTGGCTGAAATCCATTTCCATCAGTGGAGTGATGCCAATTTAGACTAGTTCAGGGAACAGCTTACAAAGTAGTGACTCTAAATGAGTCCAAATGACATTGAACCGAAGTGAAGCAGCTTTAATTACAGAATCATCATATGCAGAACATCCAGCAGAATCACAGTTACTATACTGTAACTAACCACTCTT